GAAAACTTTCCGCTGCAACAACAGGGCAATTTTTTGGACAAAACTTTCGAAATCTTATAAAAGTGTCGCTTGCCAATTTTACTATTTTGTTATCAAATTCTCTCCATAATAGATTATTCTTGCTCCTAAATACGTTTTGCTAAACCGTTGTCAATATATCCGTTATGCCGTTGACCTTCTGAGAAATGTGTGGCATTTTCCCCTCATGTACAGCCCCTGCGTTATTCTGACTTCTAGTCAGTTATAAGGTGAAATTTATTGTTACCTCTAGATGTTGGCTAGTAATACAATAAACCACGGAGTTAAACGCGAAGGCTCATTGAATCATAGACACTGAACGAACATTTTTATGTATCGTGTGGAGCCTAGCTTTGGTAAACCTAGGTCCTTAGTCAGTCCTGATCCTCTGATCAATGGATACGGGAAAAATGTGCCATCCTGAACCAGACCTTCAGGATTATGCGCGATTCTTTTAGCGTCTATGACATTCACTTGTACCCGTTGTAGATGTCATTCCTTCAGCGTAGTTGCAGTCTTCACGTCTGTCCCCAAACCAAAGTTAGGCCAAACAACATAATTTTTTTTAGAAGCAGTCGCCATTGCTTCTCACAATGTGTCCAGAATGCCGTACTCATGTTTTCCAGAAGCGATAGGTAACTGCGAGGTTGTTTTCAGACAGAGTAATTGGTTTTCAAATTCATACAGGAGATTCGCAACAGTAACTCCTGAGGGCTTGTAGGCGTCTATGGATTTGCGAACTGGCAACGCAATGATTTGTTTCGCAGCTATGGCTTGCAATCGACATATCAGAGATCCGACAGGTCCAAATGCCATTTGCTACGATTATGATCTAACCTGACAAGTTGTTGCCATTCATAAACACTGCTGAATTGCCGTTTTAAAGCTTTCATGGAACCAAGGTATTGCATGGAAGTGGCTTGCCGCAGCTCAACATAATTGGTGCTGCAATTCGAGTTTGAATGTGATTCCTGGCCTGATATGACTCCTATATTGAGAATGTAACTTATCATCACTTTAATATTAGTCAAACTGAACTTGAGGCCTAAATGGTTGTTGCTGAGATGCTTGCAATCCGGCTAATCCTTGACAAAATATATGATAGAAATAATGTCATCTGCGTACTGCAGAATTGTATTCGATGTTTATCGAGTCTTGAAACCTTAGGTGGAGGCTCCCACTAATGACCACATAACGGCTTTGTGAAATATGTTAGCGTCGGTGACTACAGGCAGCCTTGAGGTGCACCCTCGCTAGGAGAGAAACACCAGGCTCGCTACTGACAGCGCAATGTTCTCTCTGTCGTACAGATCTCCCATGATGTTCCTTGCTGCTGTTTGTTAAGAACGTCACTTTGGGTCGTGCGCATAAACAAACAGTTTCTAATTTGCATTGTTCTTGTCAAAGCTGGGTATTACTTGGCGAAGGTGCTACATACAGTACAACATCTTAACATCAACATCAGTTTGGTGCATTGAATCAAATAAATTAATAATTAATTAATTAATAAGCAGCCTTGGTATAACATACGATGCAGAAACAGTGGTTGATCCAGTTGCAAGAATTTCCTAATTACAGTATCGACGTCCGTAATCTAGTCCATGTGGCTGTTTGGGAAAGTCAATATCTAGAAGCTCAAACGCCACAGAAAACTCTACAGGACAAAATTGGGAGAATTTAAATTATAATCTGTTGCATTCTCTCATTTGCCCAATAAACAAGTAATCTGTCACATTCGCAAACAAATGCACAGATTTTCTAACTGTATAATTACAAATACACAAAAGCTTGCGGCCGACAGTCAATTACAGATGCAATAATCTTACCGTTTAAATTACGACGCTCTGCAATGGATGT